TTTTGAGGAACAAAGAAATTTGAAAATTTTAAAAGGGAATTTAGGGTTTTTCGTTGGAATTGATGTTGAAATTTGGGAATTCTGTCTTTCTCACTTTTTCTTTTATTTTGCAGTTTTTACTATTAAGTCCGACTTATTGGTAGAAGTTGGTAACACAAAAAGTTAAAAAAGTGCTTTTGATTTCATGTGAGTTTCTGAGTTTAATACTTATTACACCCTATTTCAATTTGGTCCTACTTATTACATCACCCCAATTCATCTTTCGGGACTTTTTTTATTGTAGTTTTCTTACAAGAAAGTGATAACATAATACCCTCATCATCTATGCATTCATTCTACCTAGATATGCCCACCATTCCACCAATGTGTGCAAGTGCGCATATTTTTAGTCATGTCATATTCATCAGACTTGTTAAAAAGTGCGCCATCAGACATGAGGTCTAGTTTTGATTTTCTAACAAACAACAACCAGTAATGTATACCATGAAACAATCACCATATTCATAGAGGCAATGCCAACATAAATATAGGAAAACAATAGAGAACAAAATTACAAAAGTGTCTCTGAAATATATAATTCTAGAATGATTTACAAAACTGATAATGGTTGCTCAAATTGAACCCCCAACTCAATACAGATTACGGTTACTTCTCTTTAGAATTTCAATTTGGTCTCATTAACCTTGTAAATTGTAGACTACAGTACTTGGGCAGGGTAAAAAAGGACACAATGCAGAACCTATTTCCCAACTGTTAGAACATCATTTTAACCAAGTTAGCAAAGCTGCTTGGTCAAGGTCAATGTAATGGCAGTCTGCTTGTCCTTCGCAAAGAAGTATCAGAGTGTCAGGTGTGCATAAAAGACACTCTCTTTCGATCTTTCAGATTTTTTTTTTTTTTAATAATCAGATCTTTCAGATTGAGTTGACTGAATCATCATCGCTACTGTCACTGCTGCTGGTGCTCCCACTGCCGCTTCCACTGCTTCCACTCCCACTGCTTTCACTTGAGCTTGAAGTAGATGCCCCGCTCCCTTCTGCATTCACCTGGGCCCTCAAAGTTTCTGCAGCGTTAGGACGGTTACCAGCTTCATCATCACTGACATCCACGTCAGCAATCTCCTCATCTACGTCATTTTGATTTGGAATATTGATGTCAAACCCAGTGTTAACTTCTTGTTCACCAGTGTTAGCTTTATCCTCACGTTCAACATCCTCAAAGAGCATGTTCAGATGTTCCTCAAGCTCACGATTCTCTACTGGTTCTGGTGAAGTAAATGGTTGGGCAGATGGATTGTCGACAACACCCTTACCAGTAGATTTAAGACCTGCAAATAGGGCACCACACAAGTTATCAAAGGTTTAACAACTGAAATGCCAAATATATTAGGATGTGGGTATGTGAAAAGTAGAAGAAAAGTCTGAAAATTATGTTAAGCATGCATCAGTGCATCACCCATGATTTCTTGGATACAAAAGTTTTTTTTTTCCAAGGTAATAACTTTCATTATATATAATCATTTCACTACTGGAACTATCTGAATGGTTAACTTCTGAGGCAATGGATCAAAAAGCTTTTTATAGTTTGACTCAAGTAGCTGGTGAGTTTCACTTCCACCTGAAAAGTGGCAACAACCCCCACAATCAGGTTAAGATAAAGATATTGGTGATCAGGGTAATGGTGAAAATAAGCTGTCTTCAAGAAAGTTAAGTGCCCGGTCTATCAATCTTGTATCCAACTACGAGTACCATTCATCAAAGAGAAGGGGGTGTGCACTAAAATATACACAGATGACATACAGCACCACGAAGCGTTGACCTCAAATAAAAATCAATGCTTTTATCTTCACAGATTGCTAAAATAACAAAACATATGGGGCTTTGGAGTAAAATTATTGTATCAGCATATGGGACAAACCTGGACTCTTTGGTTCACCAATATCAATTCTTTCCATCTCAACCTGTATCAACCCACAAGAAAAAGAAAACCTTCGTCCGTCAGTCTATGCATGGAAAACAGGTAATTATTAATCCTAACTGATAATGGAATAATCTAGCAGAAAAAAGTATTGATGATGAATAATTGACATAAAGAATAAGATAAACAACAAAAACTATATTTAACAATTTCATCATTGGATTGTTAGAATATATCCACTTATTATTCCACGAGACAAATCAGGTCAAACAAGTATGAAACTACTTAAACAACACAGACATAATCCATTTAAAAGCATGAAAAGCATTATATAAGTATATACGACATTAGTTACTGCAAAATCACTGAATCAAATCTTATCAACAAGGACAAATATCTTCTCAAATTACGAAAACGGTAGCTTCCTTCAATATATATATATAGGTAGATTAGATAACATAAACCATACAGAAAATTGTAATGTTTGTATACAAAGATTGGCTATATTCTCAAGCTATGAAGTTAGGACCAAAGGCAGAAGTTATAACATGTAACACACAGTAGATTGCGTGAAGGAAGAAGTAAGATTGTAAGAAAGTAAGACAAAGAAATTGTCAACCCAGAAGAGGCAGATGTGGGTGAGAGATACATAATCAAAGAAAATATCAAAACAAATATCCTTAAGACATAGAACACTTCTAGACATCTCACATTCTATACATGGGATTCTTCTCAAGACACACTTTCATAGGTGGGGGAACAGTATTGTATGTTTTGAGACTAAATACGCAAAAAATGTTGAACTCCGATTGTTCATGTGGAATGATATTTGATAATGCTTAACACCATATGAAGGTTGAAGGTCTATGGGTGAGAGGAATACCAAAAGGGACAAGAAATTGATCTGATGACACTTAAACTAACAAAAGAATATGAAATTGGACAAAATTGAATGGAGATCTTTATACAATCGTACTCATGCGTTTGCAATTATAATGGACAACAATGAAAAAAAGATCTTCCACCTCGCTAATCTGTTTCATTTATTTGATACTAGTGCATTCCCATTAGCTAGCATTCATTTTTCTATAGTACATTTACCAACTGATCAAGCTCTTCCAATTATAAAATAACATATACTCTGACTAGTTTTATCGCTATGCTCAGATATTTATTATACTACAGTAAATGGTATTTCCTGCCAAGACCAATTATCCCAACAAATGTTCACTTCAAAACATGAATAAGAGTCACATGAAACCATATTTCTAAATACTAATAGTAAATTAATATCGAAGCAAAGTATAAATAAACTCACCGGTACTGAATTAACTACTGCTTTAATAGAGGATTGTCCCTTTGCTCCCCTTCCAATAGGTGGAGACCGCGCGTCAGTAGCTTGTCCATCCATAGCACCACGTCTCAATCGCTTCACTGACCGATGCAACCGTTCTAATCGAAATGTCTCACCATCAAAAAACAAGACGGCATCATTGTCTTTATGATCCTCAATACCTCCGTCAAATAACCATTTAGGTTTTCCAGGTTGATTGCTTTGGAATTCTACAGTCACTTTATTATCTTTTCTCTTGTGTAGAAACCCAGTTTGACTTTTATCAATTGATGCCGGTCTAGATTCATCTGAAGTTGATTGCGAAAAAAAGTAATGAAATTCACTAAAATTAAGATTTAATGTATATATAAAGTTTTGACATATTTGGGAAATTAGGTTAATTTGATTTAAATTATACGAAACTTACATCGTAAAGTGCAGAACTTGGTAGATGAATTGTCTTTGAAAGAAGAACCTAGGGTAAGATCATACCAGACATCAGGTTGAGGTGCTGTGCTTGGTTCTTTGTTTTTGCTTTTGTTGTTGTTCGCCATTTCTACGATGATCTGTGAATCTTCTAAAAGCAATTAATGGTGATGAATGAAAGATCACAAAACAAGATTAAAGACTGTAGACATGAAAGAATCGATGGGAGAAAGGTTTGATTTAGGGCGCCAGGGGAGGGGAGTTTTTTTTCTTCTTAATTTATTCAAAATAGATAATATGCATTAAATCGTGTTATGGGCTTCCGAGTTCTGATGCAAATAAATATAGAACCGTGATACGGTGGGAACCGACGTTTATTGTTGACGTGTTTATAAATTTTGAACACTTAAAACATAATAAACCATGTACATCAAAAGCAATCCAAAGCCTCTCCAATTTTGATTCTTCAAAATCATAACAGTTTTACAATTCCAAACTAATTAACTTTAGAATTTAGTAATTTTTCAGAAATCAGTCAAAATTCACAACTTTGTTTAAATATGTAGAATATCTGATTATGTAGACCAATCTTGTTGTTGAGGTTAAAATGAATGTTTCAGTACTCTGTTCTGTCAATCCTTGAATGCTTATTCTATGGTGATTGCCTGATTGGACTAGTCTTCATTCTACTAACTAAACTGCACTATGGTTATGATAACCTGAATGCATTCTCTTCACAGACACGTTTTCCTGTCTAGAACCCCTTATAGACTACATGAAATGTAATAAACACACAAACAACACAATGTTATATCTCTGAACTTTTAAATAGAAATCAAAATTTTGAGATTATTTCAGCCCTACCCAATCACAAGTTCATAAAATAGAAAATTTAGAAACCCTTGCAAAATCATATAAAATCAAAAGCGAAAACCCCTAAATTTTAAATTGTTCACCAATTAAAAATTAACAATTTCCAATCAAAATAACAAAGTAAAATCTCAAATTTGAATCCCAAATACCAATAAAAACAACTTACCAAAATCGGGGAGAAATTTAGATGATAATCGCAGAGAAAAAGCAAAGAGATGTTTGCCTGTTTGGGGCGAGAAGGAGGAGCACAGATGGGATTGTTGAAGTGAAGGAAAGAGAGAGGAACAAAAACAAAAACAAAAACAAAAGTGGACGGACAGGTAGTGGGCTTATACTTATCAGGCTTTTATTACAAATGCAGATGACTCGAATGCATTTGGGCTCCAGCAGTATCTGTTATAAAAGAGAAGTTTATTGAAGCTATTTCTACCATTGAGTAGGACTACATGGCACGACCTTACTGAACAGGATCAGTTCTATAGAGTAGTACGGTAGTACCTCTGTATCCTTGAGTAAAAAGGAGACGGAAACCAAAACTTAGTTGATGAATCAAAACTGTGCGCTCAGAGCGTGATTAACAGCTTGGAGCTCATGATGTTGGGTCTCTCTAGCAACAGAGGATCGTCCGAGGCCTACTTCGGTGGTCATGCGGTTGCTGACAGATTCACAAAATATTTTTTTGGGCTGCAGTTATTGTTGACGCTTGACATTTACATAGGTTCTAGTCCTTGTTGTTCATTAGTGATTAGACTATGATAGTATGATGTAGTAGGGAAAAAATGGGAACCCTTTGATCAACCCTCCTTTTGGTGTGCCAAGGGTGCAGATATAATTAATAATTTCATTAATGTACTACTAGTTTTTCTAGGTGAGCGAAAAATCTTTATGTATCTATTAGAATGATAGCTCAAACAAGAACATCAAAAAAAAAACTACGCTTTCAAACTTGCTCTCGAAGTATCCAAACAATTCCATCAATTGATGTCGCCTGACAGTTGGATGTTTCACCAACACGAGATACATGTTCCACTAAATCTTGTAGGAGCTGTAATTACTAACAAACATGTTAACAATATTATCAAACAATAATCAAAACAAATACTGACTTACTGAGCAAAATCGTGACTCGGTCACTGTCCTTAAGACAAAATTTGCCCCGACGTACTTCGGTTTATCAGCAAATAGTCTCCCAGGATACAACTGCTACTGCAACTTCTGAGGTTGAGCACACCCTGCAAAAACCTGTCAAACTAGCACTATGCTGCACTCTCAAGACGGACGGACAAGAAGAAGAGAAGAATGTTTTGTTTGCTACTGTGTCTAAAGTGTATGACAGACTTCTCTTTATATAGACAATAAGATTGAGAGATATGGAAATCACAGAGATATTTTATTATGTGTAAATAGCAATATACGATACTGGGTATCCATACATACTTAGCAATAGATGGTTCTGGAAAACCATTTACTTGGAAACAAATGGATATGGAAATCCATATTCTTGGAAGTTAGAAGTCTTTTTAATAAGGCAACCACAAAACTATTTTGGGCCAAAAAGATATTAGACAAGTCTTGATCCAATCCGATCCAAACTAGACTGGTCGGACGGCAACATCGTGCGCGCGTGTGGTTTTAGATTTGGGCCATAGCCCATGCATGGCTTTACTCTATTACACATTAGTGGTAACCCAAAGATATTAGACAAGTCTATTTTGGGCTAAAAAGATAT